GCGGGTGCGCTGTGGAAGCGCCAGGGGTTAGGCAATGGCACTGGCAACCTGATGGGCCTTGAACCTTCGGAACACAACTGTTCTTCCATAGTGGTAACTGTCCGAACTTCTGGCGCTGGGGGTCCTGGCGGCTGAAGAATTTGAGGGGCCTGACCCACTCCTTCAGACTCTTCCTCAACCAGAACAACACGTAGGATCACCATCTCGTGGATGTTGCGGATGACGTCGTGTACCGAAAACATGAGCATACGGTCCGGGAACGGACCCTCTTCGGCTGGGCCGTCGTCTGAAAAATCCATGGCCCGGGCTGCAAGAACTGGGCCGTGAGGCCCTTCCACAAACACCCCCGGATCCCTTCCCCAGTCTCTCTGTTGGAACACAGTCGCCACCAGCAGGGCGTGAGGGATGGCGGCCGACGCTGGATGCAGGAATGGGTCTTCGTCGGACCCACCCAACACACGTTGCCACCTTTCAAACCTCGCCTCAAATTGCTCCTCATCGAGCTGGCACAATTCGGCCCACTCTTGGCCGCTCATACGTGCGTACCTAACGTTCAGACCTGCCCTTCTTGGTCGAGGTTGAGCCCTTGGGCGGGCTCTTGGCAGTTGCTGTGGGCAGGGACCCACCAGCTTGCAGACGGAAGGCAACGGTGGCTCAAGCGGGATCCTAAACCCCAAGTTGGCAAGCTGCGCCTGCTTGGGTTGGGAGAAGCTCCTTGAACTCAGGGGACTATAACCCGCTATCACCCAGTTGGTCGCCGGTAACACCGCATGCCTCTGCTTCGGATTGAAGGTCATGGTAGCCTGGGTTAGCGGGACGATCAGCCCCTTGTGCTCTCTCCCCTTGGCGTCTAGACAGGCGTGCGTCGGCTCCTCAATAGCCGGGCCTTCGATCCGCATGGACCGGGTGGTAACCTGGGCAACGTGGTTCACAGACCCTGGCTCGTTCCGCACATCGCGATGCATTGCTACCTCTGGTGCCACCACAACTGTGAGTGCCGTCCAGGTAAGTGCACCTGGATCACCTGAAGAGTTTCTCCTCAAATACTCATTCAAGTACCTGCAAACCATTGGGTGCACGTGGCTGGCTCTAGTGATCCCTTTCAACCCTCCGTGGCTATACGCCCCTAAGATCACAGCGAAGTCCATGGCTCCTCTGTGCGTCCTACGGGTTCCTCCCTCTACACCACCAAACGCAAGATCCAACAACCGTCCACAATGATCGGCCGTGTACAGGCCCGAGTTCATCAAATCTATTGCGAACGATTCTGATGGCAGGCTGACAGCACATACCGCACGCTTACCAATGACTCTGCGGGATGGAGCTGGGAGAGAGGTGGGTCCACCTACCGGGGGCTCATGCTCCGGGGGGTCTGCCTGCAACACCTCCTCGCCTCCAAGCTCAGCCTCCGGATCAACCAACTCATCAAGGCACCTAACGTTTTTGGCAACCAGATACGCCCCAGAGGCGGCACGAAGCAGCACGTGTCCCCCTTCTTTTCTCGGAGTGGGACAAAGGTAGATGGCATGTTCCCAGCGCACGAACGGTCGTTTAGACTTCCCGGTGGGATGCTTGCTCTTAAAAATGACCTTCTGCCCGAACCTGGGAATCCTTCCAGGCAGCTGCAACAGTCGGTGCCGATGCTCGGCACAGGCGAACTCCATGGCTGATGGCCATTGTTCCACACCCAAACCTGAGGAGGCAAGATGCAACCGTGCACGCGCCTTAACCCAACCCACAAGCCTCTCAGCTAGGCCATTGGATTTGGGGTCGTCGCCTTGCGTGAACGAGGGCTGTATCAGCTTTGACTGCAACCAATCCATAACAGCCTTTGACATCAGCTCCTTGGCCCTATCGGTGTGAACAACCTTTACTGGAAACCCTAGCCGTCCACATTCGGTGACGATTTCTTGCAACCCTGCTAGGATTTGAGGTCCCTTTCGTGACTTCAACGGGACCACAAACCTCAGGACCTTGTTTGCACCTGTGAACAACAGCTGGGCCAACTCCTCATCAAACTGCTCATCTGTCATGGAGGACACACCTTGATCATCACCCCATGGGTCACCATCTGAGGGTTTCTGCTCTGCACCATCACCCACAGGCTCATCTTCAGCAGCCTCCTGACAATCCTCAAGGTCCTGCAAACTCGCTTTGAGGCTCTCAAGATCAGGAGCTTCGAACCAGCTAAGCACAGATTCCCGTTCGTCCTCATCATCCGGCTCCTCCTGAGCTGTCAGTTCGAGCGGGTCCTTAGGCTCCAGATCAGCTTGAAGCCAGCTCGCCTCTGAGGGCGCATCGTCCTCATCCACAGGCGGCTTTGATTGCATGACCTTTGGCCTTGACTTAGCCTTAGGAACCTTGGCTGGCCTGTTGGCACCTACCTCGGCCTTCGAATCTGCGACGGGCAGTGCAATGTCTGGAACGCGAAGGCCAGCTACCAGTGCATACTTATAGCAGCCTCCTCGATCATCCTTGCCAAGCTCTACGAAAGGCCCTGTCAAGTCGAATGCAAGAGAGTACATCGAGGGGCATTTTACACGACGGTGCTGAAGTCCTAAGGAACCTGACATCACGCACTGGAGACAGTCCCGCCTAAACGGGATATGGTGGGCAGCAATGTGCCGCCTCCACTTTTCCTTCTCCTTGTCGCTGAGCTCCCGCGACGTGGGCTGAGCATCTTCGGCCTGCGCCTGTGAATGCTCACCTGCTCCTCCTGAGTCGAGCACGGGCATATCAACTGCCACTGGGTAATCGTCGGCACTGCTTTGGCCCTCTTGGTCAACACCTGTTGCCTCTTGCATATGCTCTTGTGCCAACCATGCCTCGGGTGAACTCGACGGCTGTTCCGCCCCAACTGCATTCACGGCTGGAACCTTCTGCAGAACATGGCCTGTTGCCAGCGAACCACCAAAAAGAGCCATGCTGACCTCACGCCTGAAAGCCTGCGGCCAACCATGTGCAACGGGCCCACCTTCAAGCGCAACGTCTGCCTGCGAAACTTGCTTGACACCTGGAGAGAAACCTAGGTTGGTGCATACCTTCATGGGGCGGGTGGTGCCCTCAACGCCTAGACCACTATCAACGATCAAGTCGCTGCAATTGCTCCATTGCTGGAACGGGTCCACTACAGTACGCATCCACCATTCATTGGTCCCTTCTGGATACACGGCATGGGTCTGGCAGGTAGGAACCCCTTCTCCACGAGACAAGGATGCAACGGTCCAAAGCCACATGGGTTGCCGCGCCGTCAACACATCGTCGTCAATCTTGGCTTGGAGCGCAGCTGAAATGTCTGGCTCCCCCCACGGGTGCTGCGTGGAGCGCAACCTCACGGCCTTTGAATCCTCAACCTTCAGAACACCCCATGTCTTCATAGGCGCATCGGCGACAACACCCGCAACCCGTCCGGTGAACGCAGCCCAGCAAAGAACCTTCCACACCGAGGGGCTGACTATTTTTTCACGGGTGACGCCGAGTTCAACCAGCTCGACCTGGCGCTCACTGCACATGCTCTTGAGAGAAGAGTCGGCTGGGCTCGAACTATCATAGGACTGATGCATTCTCTTCCGAACTCTTCTGTTGAAGGGGAGTGCTTTGAGAAGCTCCCATCCATTGGCCGCTTTGAGATCCACGGCGAGCCTCGTGGCGATACGGTCCGGAACACCCTTCAGAAACGGCATCAACTGAAGGAGGTCCAACGATGCACCATAGTCCCCGCTTCCAACAAAGGCATCAATGGCATCTGCTAGGCTCAACCCTTGCATACCTTTCAAGTAAGCCTGTACCTTCTTCAGCCTACCGGTGAGCTCACCAAGCTTGGCGCTCTCAAGCTCCTTGATCAAACACATGGCCTGCTCACGGTTCAACTGCGGGCATCCTCCCTTCAAGCTCGTCTTGAGGCGGCCTAGGCGGGGGTGCGTTAGATGCATTCCGCCTTTCCTGGATCAACGCACTGAACAATCAAGCTGATCAACAAGGCAGCCTAAAGGGAGAATTGTCTGTGTGGTGCCCTCCCCAGTACTGGGAGCTACCAGAGAACCCCCAGGAGTTTGCTTCCAGGTCTGCCTTTGGTCACCAGCAAGCGACACTGTGCAGGGTACGAGGTCCTGTCCCTCTGCAGAAGCCACATCCAACACCGCATGCGTGGCTCCAGAGTCCAGCAACGCTGTTTGCTCGGAACTCACCGCTTCCACGGAATTGCTCACTGCCCGCACTGCTGGACCTCTGCCATCCAAAACACGTGCCTCTAGATCCTCAAGCTGAGCCTGAATTTTTGCTGCAGCGGCCATAGCGGGCCCTTCGGCACTAGTGGCTGCTTCTGATCCACCTCCCCTTGCTGATCCACCTGCCGAGGGCGGCTGGTGAGCAGCTGCGTCTGCCGCGCCTGCACTAGCATGGATGGCTTCTCGTAGAACCCCGGCGGCATCTGACAACACCTTCCGAAGGCCAGGATCGGCCTTGGGTTTTTGAGCGGGATCGGCTCTTGCTGATTTTGCGGAACTTGCACCATCATCACGCTTTGCTAGCCCTGTGCCCTGAGTGTTTGGACACGCATCTCGGCGATGTCCCTTGGCCCCACAGGCCATGCACCTGTCGGCTCTGTCCTGCTTTGGCACCTGACTCCAGTCGTGAGTGAACTTGCAGTCCTTTCCCCTCTTACACCCTTTAGCCTCATGAAACCATTTGCACAACTTCTTGGGCGAGTCGCCACCTGCAGCTTGTCCTGCTCCCTTCGGTGACCTTGCTTCCTTTGGGGCTGCAGGGGAGGTGTCATTACCTCCTGCAACGCGAGCATCAACCTGCCTCACGTTCTTATTAGCCTCTGCCTTAGCACCTGAAGGAAGGCCAGGCGAGGGGCTCTCTGCAACTCTTGACACCGCCTCTAGCTCCACAAGAAGATGCTCAAAATACTCACTGACCTTGGCACCTGTAGGCTGCGTGTCTAGATGCAAAGAAGCACGCACAAGGTTGATGCGGAAGCTCAGGCTGGGCAACGAGCGGAGCACATTGCCAGTGATGCACTCAAGAGCCTGGATGCTCAGCGCTGCGTCAGGTTGAGCTCCTCCTAAGTCGCTGAGTCTCGTCATCCAACGCTTCCATGTGCGAAGCTTCAACACAGCGTCTATTGCACTGTCTGCAGGCTTCGGGTGCTGAACTTGCTTCAACGCCTCCGACCTTTCTGCAACCCCGCCTGGCTTATAGATGATGTGAAGTTTGCACAGGATGTTCAGAACTCCACTCACCCTTGCTGACGACAGTTCAGCACGTACGCTGTCAGAACACGCCTGGATGATCAAGTGCTCCATCCGGTGCTTGACCCGAGCCCACCTTGGTTCGTGGTCCGTTTTCGACTCCGGCACGCGAAGCCTGACCCTTGCTATTGGAGTGGATGGCACAAACTTGTCATTATACCATTCTCTAGCCTCCTCCAACACTACTCGCCAACATTCACCCGAGGTGTCTGACAAGTCACTCATTGAGGGCTTCACTGCATGAATCCAATCCGAAAAGCCCAAAGCCCCTTCCAAGGTAGGAGGGGGAAGCTTCACTAGCTCCTGTACACCTGGTCGCACAACCTCGGGGCCTCCTCCGGCGGAAGGTGGCGCAGAAGCAGACCTCGACGCGAGATCTGCAACTACGCCTTGGAGCTGCACGATCCCCGACATCATTGCTTCTAAGGGGTTTCCACCACCACCTGTTGCACCTGCGCCTGTGGACGGACCTGCTGCAGTAGTCTTCGGCACACCTATTGAGCCTAAACCCAAGAATGGTGCAGGTTTCACTCCAGATGCAACTGGGACCTGCTGGGAGCGAGCGGCTGATTGGACTGACGGAGTTGGTGGAGGGCCTAAACCATACTCTAGGGCGGGAACAGGAACTCCTTGGCCTTTTGCACCTGTCAACGGTGGCACTGCGGGGCGTTCCTGGCCTTCGACGTGGCCACCTGCTTGCATACCTTCATGCACAGGGCCTTGTGACGATGACCAACCTGTCACCTGAGGTGCATAGCCGCCATCGAACGGCGCCGCTGCAGACTTACCAGGAATCTGCTGAACAAACCCCATAAGGTTTCTCCTTAGGCCACTAAACCAACTCCCCTTTGCAGCATGGAGACCCGGACCTCCTGAAACTGACTCTACATTGGACGATGCTACCTGTCGAAGCATCTGGTTTTCTTCTACCAAGGCTGCTACCCTACCTTGCAATTCGGACTGTACAACCATAAAGGCTTGCATTTGTCGCCGAACTTCAGCTTGGATAGCCTCAGCCTGTCCTGACTCAGAGCTCGAATAGTGAGGTAAGGGTGGAGCTCGCACTGCCCCCGAATCTTCCTGAGGCTGGTCGTTCCTGCTCTCACTGTACAGAAGTGGTGCCTCTTGTTCCATCTCCCGAAGTCGCCTCGCCTGCTGAGGTGAGAACAGCTCTGCTCCAGAAGCTTGTGGCTCCTCATTCGCTTGCTGTTCTACCTCAACAGGCTGCTCCTCCATAGCTGCTGAGCTCGCGGTCACGTATCCTGTCCCGACAGTCCCTGCAGACCTCACCTCCTCCTGACCCAAGAAACTCGCCGCAGACGACACCTTAGCCGGCGGGATCATGCCTTGAACCTTCGCAGCCACGTTCGCCATCACGCGACCTGCCGTTCTCAGCGCCCCAGCTACAGGCTCACCTGCAGCCCTACCAGCTCTCTCGGTGCTTTCGTCACCTCGAACTTCTCGTCCTTCGGGGTGAGGTCTCAACTCGCTGTCCATTGACATTGGACCCATCGTCCCATACGTACCGTTCAGCAAGTGCGGAGTACTCGCGCCAGCGATTTGGGCGCCCATAACCTGTTGAGGTTCTGACCCCGTAGCCCTGCTGGCAGCTCCACTGACAGTCTCACTTGGCGGGGGGTCATAGGAATTTGGGTTATCATCTTCGCGACCCAACATCTGAACCTGAAGTGCTCTTCGCCGAACTCTGAATGAAAGCTCCGTCACGAGGCTACAACCATGGGGCAAAATGCCCTTCTCACGAACACTTTTGGCTCTACGCGCTGTCAACGTGCTGTTGAAAGCTTTGGTTCATGCTTCTTGTTAAAGCTATGACTGCAAGGTGTGAAGCCCTACATGTGCTCTGCTTTCGCTCTAGAGCCATGTGCTTCAGCAACTGATCGTAAGAAGTGATCCCCACCTGTACAACTGAGCATGGGATTTCACAATTAGAATAGGGTTTTGGGGTCCCACTGTACCCCAAAAAATAGTATTGGTAATCATGTAGGCCCCTACATTAAACACTCCTAAAGCATCGTTCCGGAAGCCTCGGAATCCTCAAATCCTAAACCCCGAGAAGCCGCGTCTTGGTAACCCCCAAATCCCCTAAACCCTAAACCCCCAAATCCCCAAAGCCCTGAACCCCCCAAAAGACCCTAACCCCAACCCCCTCCCCCCAAAAAAAAGCCTAAGAGAGCTTCGCATGAAACTCCTGCACCCCTGAGCTCCCGCAGTAAGCTTTTGAGGGTTTAGGGTTTTGGGTTTTGGAGCGTAAGGTTTAGGGTTTAGGGTCCCTAGACCCTAATTTGCTATGCGTTGACGTTGATTGGGTTTAGGGTTTAAGGGGTTTAGGGGTTTAGGGTTATAGGGCTCGGGACATGGAGCAGGATCTCTGGACTAAACTCCTGGAGTAGGGCTTTCAAGGGGTTTCGGTGGGCCTCAGAAGCCTTCCAGGTCTCAGGGGCTTCGAAAGGTCTCAGGGTTTCTACAGGTCTCAGGGTTTAGGGTCAAGATTCAACAGTTTGGGACTTAAGAGTGTAAGGGTTTAGGACCTCAGAGTTTACGGGTTTAGGGTTGAGGGTTTAGGGCTTAAGAGTTCAAGGGTTTTTTGGCTTAGGGGCTTATCATGGTCTCGTTGATGTAGCGGCCTCACGCATCCATGGTTTGTGGGATGGGGCCCCAGTTTACCTTGGCCCAGGACACTTAACCCTAAGGGTCCATCTACCCAAATAGTATATACATTGGCCCTAAAGTACCTATATAGGGACTACTTTATGGCCAA